CCCCAGGAGAAGATGTGTCTGCGGCTCTTCAGGTGAGGCAGGGCTCCAAGTGCCAGGGACCCCCGTCCCGCCTCTCGCGGGGATCAGGAGCAGAGATCAGGGCCTGGCGTAGAGGGCGTGCCTCTTCCCAGGTGCACTGATCTCTGTTCACAGAGGAATTTGGAATCCTGCTGCCGAGTTTCCTGGAGAGAGCTTGCTGCCTCCTTCCTGAAACTTCCCGCAGCCGCTCTCCCCAGCCTGGTCCAAATGTTCTTCACGAACACCCTCCGAAGGGGGGCCGCCCCCTGAGTGAGCAGCACCGAACCATGAGCCAAGAGGACTTGGCTGAATTTTCCTTGATACTCTCTGTATCACCCAAATAAGCCTTTTCATCTGTACGCACCTCCCCAGGCCTGCTGTACTCTCTAAGGCGCTCACGTCTTTGAGAACCATAGCTTTAGGCATTGGGGCTGGCCAGCAGGAACCAGCCGTGAAGGAAGACCAGCACAAGGACAGATCTCTCCTTTGCTCCTCACCTCGGAAGAATCAGTTCAGCTCAGCTCAGAGTCTGTTTCCTACAGGCTGGAGTGGAAATGTTACCGTCTAGCTCACGATAAATTCTCTCTCATTTATGTAAAGTTTCCAGAATGCCTGCTTTCCTAGCACTTCTAGATACTTCTGTTTTCGCTTTGGGGTCCTCTCTGTCACTTTTGTCCCCTGCACTCCCAGGTTCATACTGCTCAAGCGTCCCTTCTGTTTGTGTCGGGGAAGGGGAAGGGCTAGAATCTCTTTCTAATCAGCACAGCCCCCTGGTCCCTGTCAGTCTAGGAGGTGCCTTATCTGCCCCTCCCCTTCTCAGGCAGCCAGTCCCAGCCTGGGGACTGTGTCCCCAGCATCCTCCCCGCTGTGTCTGCCACCTCGCCTGGCCTGCTTTGTGATACTCTCTGATAATAACCAGCTCTGACCCCCAGTGGCTGCTGGGAGGAGGTGCTGGTGGCTGGGTGTCGGTGCCTTCCAGGAATCACCCTCCCCAGTGCCTCTGGGTGAGACCTCAGCTCTTCCCACCCTCCCCGCCTGCTGCAGCACCTTCCTGGGGTGGGGTCTCTCACATGGCTGTTGTCTAAGGGTTCCCCAAGGACCCACTTTCTGAAGTGCTTTGTATGTCATCCACGCTGAGCTCTGAGGGCATTGGAAGATGCTGCCTTGGCCACTCAGATCCAATTAACTCCATGGCTGGCGAGGTGTGAGGTTCTTGGCCTCAAGTCCTTCTGATCCTTAGGATCAAGCCAGGAGGCTGAACCTTTTTTTAATGCAACAAATTTTATTTAGCATAGCCAGTCCCAACATTCAGCACAGAAACTTGACAGAGGCTGGTGGGCACCTTCAGGCTGCAGGGTCTCCATCAGACGTATGCTTAGACTTGCCCAAATCACAGTGCCCTGCTGGTGTTGGGTGGTATATGGCCTCTCCCCCTCGCCCCCTACCTAAGATCCGGGGTGTTGCCTAGTGGTGACCACTGAATGTCAGTCATAGGCAGATGAATAAAGGAGGCCCTTCACCCGGACATGTGTGACTGGGGAGCCATGTGGAAGCTCTGCTAGGGGCCCAGGATGATAGCGGAAGCATCTAAGCTTCATGAGGTCAAGGCTTTGGTGTGAGACCTGGTCTTGAGTTTGGGCTCTGCCACCTTCTGATCGTATAATGCTGGGCACATAGTTTAACTCCTGAGACTGTTTCTTCATCTGTAAACCTTACACATTGAATTGCTAGCGTGTCAGAGAGTTCTTTTTTAAATCTTCTTTCATCTGAGAGCAGGCACTGGGTGCGGGTTCTTTTCGCCCCCTGGCTTCAGAACCTTACCGCCCTCCTGCATGGGACTCTCCTTGCAAAAGAGGCTTTAAAACTTTTTCCTTTTTTTTAAAAAATTATAGAACTAAACCATGTACATTGTTAAACACAGAAAAAAAAAGTCGGCAGTTGTTAAATATATTAAAAAGTGAGGGTGCCCACACGCTGTCCCCAGAAGTGCCCATTGTTGATGAGGGCCCTTCCGGGCCTGTGTTCGTGCATTTGCAAGCATAAGACATTTTTACAAAAATGGCATCACACCTTGTTCTGCTGCCTGCTTTTCTCACGCGTTTATTTTCCCCCCTAACAGCTGTATGGCATTGTGCAGGTAACCGTAATTTCTCCCGTCAGCCCAGAGGGCATGGCATGAACTGATCCCCCCTCTCCTGTTTCTCCAGGGGTCCCAGCAGGATGAAGCCGTTTAAGTATAACCATCCTCAAGGATTCTTCAGCCACCGCTGACCTGCTCGGCCTGTTGTTTGCCCTGGACCCTCAGTGCTGTGCCTCCATTTTCTCTTCTGTTCCACATGTGGCTCCTGATGTACTCCAGAGACAGGTTTTATATTTTTAACCAATTAAAGTATCATCTGACGAAGTGGCTTTTGTCTGGTGGCTCTTTTGGGAGGAGTGGGTGGCTTTGCCGTCTGTAAGGGCCTGTAGGAGCCACAGCCCAGTGTGGAAGAGCATTTGTGGATAGACTTTCTCTGGGTGGCCATACCCACCTACTTGTTTCTGCTTTGGGCAGTCCTCATTATCCAGGTCAAGCATGTCAAACTCAAAGGCTAACACCGGCCAAATAAACGAGGCATGCGGCCAATGGGCTGGGAGTTTGACATGCTTGATGTAGGTATGTATTATCCCGAGTCCGTGCTATGAGGAGGTGGCAGGGGAAACCAAATCACCATAGTACGAAACCCAAAGCTCCTTTCCCCTGCCCTCCTCTTTCCACTGAGCCTGTCGTGTCGGTGCCTCTCATGGCCACATTCTCTGAACATCGGACATTGCAGTGCAAAGAGGAGACAAATACATCACAAAGAATAATTGTAAATCGTGCAGGATTTGGTGAAGTCGATGAGTGATTTTGGGGATGCATGCAGAGCTGCCATTCAGTGAGGCGCTGGCAGAGGGAGGCCAGGTGGCATCTGAGAATCTTCCTGATGAAGACAGGCTGAGTGCCTCCAGAAATAATGATCTGACTCTCAAAGGATTAAGAGAAGTCCTAGGGAGAGAGGTAACACCTTCTAAAATGTTTGCAAAATTGCCTCTATGTAATCCTGCTAAAGTCGAACGAGATGAAGGGTGGCATCGAGTGTTCTCTGGCGGGTTCATCTGAAAAGTTATACTCCTCCAAATCAGTACCCTGTTCCTTCTTCATTCATTTTAACAAGTCAGATGTAAAGATGGAAAAATGCAGAAGAATTATTACCTAGTTGCAAAAATAGCCTGACGTTTACTAGCTATAAGATGAAGTAAGTTTCTTTTAGCTTTATTGAGATATAATTGACATAACAATGTCTAAGTTTAAGGTGTACAACTTGGTTTTTTGTATATTGCACATTGATCACCAGAATAAGTTTTGTGTGTGTGTTAACTTTTTAAGATTTACTTTTAGCAACTTTCAATATATGTAAATTTTATTTATGTGATAGTTCCAATCAGATGTGTTTTTTCTCCCACAACATACTTTGAAGTTTGGTCCCAATGCATGTGTATTCACTGTGAGTAAACCTGTACTGATTATCCTTGGATAAGTGGACCTCTGGTATAAAAGCTGTTGTGGGCTTGAGGAAGGGTATTTTTAATGAGCTCCCAGGTGCACATTGACTAGTCTCTTGTTGGAAGTTACTGTTCTTTCTTCCCTTTTTTTTTTTTTTGTGTGTGTGTGTGTGTGTGTGTGTGTGTGTCTCCTCAAATAATGCAGAAGGACCCCTTTCTCTGGGAGCAGCTCCCCCTCTTCTGTCTCCCTCACCTTGGACAGCGGCATGAGCCTCTGGTTGCTTCTTCCTCTCCACAGAATGAGATCTTGTCTTTCCTCTGACCTACTTGCCTGGGACTCTCCCTGCCAGCATCCCCTTGGTCTGGCCACCTTCAGGCCTTGCATCTCACCGCCTGTGCTGAATAAGATTGAAACGGGGCCTAAAAATAGTTCCTTTAATGGCCTCTGCATTGCAGTCTCCACTGCGCTCTTGGCTGGAAGGCTGCCAAACTGACTCAGCACAAAAGCTGGTCTCCGGTAACTGGTGGCCGGGACAAAGTTGCAGACAGCTGGTGAAGGCTGGGAGGAGGCTTGGTTTCCTAGGCAGGGATGGCAGAGCTGTCCCTGTCACCCTCCCGAAGAGAGTTTTTCTTCCTTGAAGGAGAAGGCTGAACAAAAGAATCCTTTGGCCTTAAGAAGAGAGGGTTTTAAAACTAGTGAGAAGCCCGGGACAATCCAGCCCCTTGGAGCTACTTAACTGAACCCTTTGTGGCTTGGTTGGACGGACTAGCAGGAGGGGCTTGGCTTGTTCCTCCTCAGCCGGCATTGACCTTGCCTTCCCGGGACACGTCCCAGACTACAGGCCCTTTCTGGTGGTCTCTCAGCCCAGGTTCCTTCCTTTTTAGAGCTGCCATCCGTGTTCTCGATTTCGTAGCTTCTAGTCTCTCCATTGTGTTCTTCCCAGCCTGCCCTTTCCTAACTTTACAAATTAATCCAAAAGACCCCTTTTACCCACACCAGCCCAATGAGAACCAACCCCTGGACTTTCCCAAGAATATTGAACAGAGTTCTTTTCCCCCAAGTTCGCTAAATGGGTGGAATGTAAGCCTAAAGCTGGAGACCACATGGAGAGGTCCCGCCTGAGAATTAAGCCTGCACGAAAGCAGCCAAGAGATGGCAAAGTGAGCGGACAGCATCTTGGAGGACAATCATTTGAGATTTCCCCCGGGTCCAGTTATAGCTGAAGCAATGCGAACTTCTTGAACTGCTTGGTAATGTAAAATAATAGAGTTTTTATTATCAATTATGAGGAGCAGTTGTATGTTGCTTAAACTAGTTTAGTTCCGTTTTGACTACTTGCAACAGAAAAAATGCTGATAAGCCCAGCTGGTGTGCTTAGTGGTTGAGCATTGAGCCAGGAACCGGGTCATGGTTTGATTCCCGGTCAGGGCACGTGCCAGGCTGTGGGCTTAATCCCAGGTCCAGGGTGTGCAGGAGGCAGCCAATCAATGATTCTTTTCTCATCATTGATGCTTCTAGCTCTCCTCCCCTTCTCTCTGAAATCAGTAAATTTTAAAGTGAATGAATGAATGAATGATGTTTTGGTTCCTAGTTCTTTGGTTACAATCTGTCAATCATAATGCACAGAGGTCTTTGCCTCCTCTCCCTGACCCCTATCTTCAATTCCAGGTCTTAGGCTCTGGTATTTACCTCTGTATTTTTAATCATATGTAATCTCGATATGTCAATTTTAAAAAACTTTATTTTGAGATAATTTTTAACTTACTGAAAAATTGCAAAGGCGGTACTTATAGAGAGTTCCTGAATACCCTCACTCAGCTCCCTCTAATGTTTACACGTTCATGGTACATTGTCACAACTAAGATTAATGTTGGTACATTACTATTAAGTGTACACAGGCTAATGGCTGCTCACTAGTTTCTCTACTAGTGTTCTGCGATCCAGGACAGCACATTGCATTGAGTCGTCATGTCTCCTCGGTCTCTAGTCTGTGATAACAATCCTTAATAGTGTTTAAGACTATAGGTTACGGCCCTGACTAGTTTTGCTCAGTGGATAGAGCATTAGCCTGTGGACTAAAGGGTCCTGGGTTTGATTCTGGTAAAGGGCATGTGGTTGCAGGAGGTGGCTGATCGATGTTTCTCTCTATCCCTCTCCCTTCCTCTCTGTAAAAAATGAATAAAATATATATATATATATATATATATATATATATATATATATATATATATATATATATTTTAAAGATTATAGGTTACATTATTTATAATATCCTAAAGTGGTTAAGAACCATCTGGTTAGGGCAGGGAAAGAAATAACTCCCAGAACAAGGCTTAGTGACAGATCTAAAGTTGGAATCAAGCCTCTGAATAGGGCTCCCAGATGATGCGATGTAGGTGATCCATAAAGCATGCACCGGGCCACCTGTCTGTAAGGTCCTAAACATAAAGCATCCAGCACACTGCCTGGCACGTGGTTTGTGCTCAGGGAAAAATAGGAGGGAGGCTGGTCCCAGAATTTCAAGAGACCCCTGATGCTTGCTCAGTCCTGCATCGTCTTGTGACATCCAAACCGCCCTTGGTTCTGTCCCCTGGCCTGCGACGGGGGAGAATAAGTCACAGCAGCAGCATTTTCATTTCATAAGCACTTGTTTTTATTGCACGGAAGCAATTGAACGTGGTCTCCGGTGGCAAAGTGCGCCCTGGCATGGCTCAGTGCCCGGCCCCACCCACCCCAGCTCTTCCAGGAGAGCGAGCCCCGGGCGCGGGCCTGGCCGCTCCTTTGGAAAACAGAAGGCATTTGGGAATAGGTTAAGACATCTCAAGCATAATGTGTTTCTAACTGCTCATTCATTATTGCGGCCACCTGTCCATTGCACATACGGGGAATAAATGCACTTATTTGGAAAGGAGGGGGGAAGTTTTTACAGTCACGTGTTTACGGGTGGCATTCACTCGGCATAGGTCACATTCCGCTACAGAAGCTATCATAGCATAGTGGTCCATCGCCTGGGGAGGGTTTAGGGTGCGGGGGCCCGGGAGGGGAGTGCCCTTCCTTGATAATATTGCTAACAACTTCTTTGGTGAGGGAGAGCCCCGCCATCTAAGCAGAGTTTCTTATATAAAGAAAAGGGAGGGAAAATGAAGATTTATTATGCCGACCCTTGAACTCCCAGGCCCTCCTGAGTTTCTTTGGATGCTCTGGATGTTCCTCTCTCCCTACTTTACTTCTCCCCCTTGGCGGCCTTCTCCGGGGGCCTGCTGTCCTTCTGATCTGTGCTGGAGGACTTCTCGGCCTTTTCCGTCTTGGCCTTGCTGGGCTCTTCCTTGGCTTGGGCCTCTGGTTTGGGTTTCTCCTCGGGCTTCTTGGCCTCTGTGGTCTTCTCCTCCTTGGCATCCTTCTTCTCAGGTGCCGCTGCTGCCTCTTCCTTCTTTGGCTTTTCTGGCCCCTTCTCTGCGGCTTTGCTGGGTCCTTTGGCCTTGGCGTCATCTGGTTCCTTCTTGTCCGCCTCCGTCTTCTCCTTGGCTTTCGCCTCTTCCTTCTTGGCAGGAGCCTCCTTCTCCGGAGTCCCCGCTTTTTTCTTATCCTCAGCCTCTTCCTTCTTGGCCTCAGCTGCGGGCTCTCTGGGCTTCTCCTGCTTCTCCTCGGGCTTGGGAGCCTCCTTCTTGGGCCCCTCATCTTTCTTGCTGTCCTTCTCCTCGGTTTTCGGTGCGGCTGGAGCTTTCTCTTTCTCCGCCTTCTTTGGGGGCTCTTTGACTTTCACCTCCTGGGGTTTCTCTTCTTCCTTCGTGGGGGACTTGGCCTCTTCCTTCTTGGAGACCTCTTTCTCGGGAGCCTTGGCCTCCTCCTTCGCGGGAGATTTGGCCTCCTCCTTGCCAGGACTTTTGGGCTTTACAGGGGATTTGATGTCTGCAGGGGACCGTACTTCCTCCTGCACCGGGGTCTTGGCTCCTGGGGACTTCACATCAAGAGTCTTGGCCTTCTCGGGGGACTTGGCTTCTTCCTTCGTCGGAGAGCTCGCCTTTTCCGGGGACTTGACCTCAGATGGCGATTTTGCCTCTTCCTTCACTGGGGACTTGGCCTTCTCTGGGGACTTGACCTCAGCTGGGGACTTGGCTTCCTCCTTTGCTGGGGACTTAGCCTCTTCCTTCACTGGGGACTTGGCCTGCTCAGGGGACTTGCCCTCAGCTGGCGATTTTGCCTCTTCTTTCATGGGGGTCTCGGCCTTGGCCGGTGACTTGGCCTCCTCCTTCTCTGGGGACGCAGCCTCTTCGGCTGGGGGAGACTCTGTGGCTTCTTCTCCCCCTTCTGCTTCCTCCTCTTCTCCCTGTTCCTCCTCGCCCTCCTCCTCCTTGGCCTCTTTCTCCTCTTCCTCTGTCACTTCTTCGGTCACCTGTATCTCCTCTGTTTGTTCTTCCACAATCACCGTTTCCTTCTCTGACTTTTCCACCACCCTGATCTTCTCCTCGCTTTTGACCTTTATGTGAGTGGCCGTGGAAGGGACTTTAGGGAGTCCCTCTGGGAGGGAGAAGGGGCCAAAGCCAATCCGACACTCTTCACCCTCCAGGAGTTTCCTGCAGAGTGGATAACGGGGCACATTAATGCGAACTCAAAGCAGGTTGGTAACGTGGGGGTCTTCCTGGTTTCCTCTGAAGGTCCAATGACGGGGACTTTGGCAGAGGAAGGAGTGTGAACAAGGGGCCCTTTGAGAATGGAGCAAATCCCTTAGTAAGTCATCCCAGGAGTCCGCACCCAGGGGCACTGTTGTTTAATGCAGCAAAAGCTGCGACTTAGGAGATAAAACACCTTCTTTTCCTTGAAAAATTACCCTTAAGACAGAGTGCCTACTTTAACAAAATTTACATTTATTGTACCTCAACTGAAATAAGAGAAAGTAGGGAGCATGAGAAGACAATTCCATACTTACAGATTTGGGTTTAAGAGGTCTAAGAATGTTCCTATTTGAATTTCCAGATCTCTAATCACCTTCTATTCTCATCCTTTGAGTTTTAGGGATAGGGTGATGGCAGCAATTTCTACTCTTTAGTTTCTTTTTTCTTTTTTAAAATAAATTCTGTATGCCCCACACTGGGGATCAAGCCCCACCCAGACACATGCCTGACCAGGAATTGAACCTTGATCTTCTGATTCATAGGTTGATGCTTAGCCACTAATCCATGGCAGCCAGGCTGTTTTGAGAATTTTTATAAGTTTATTTGAGCCAAACTGACGATATGCTGGGAGCAAGATTTCAAATGCTCCCCCCATAGGTATTGTTATCATCACTCCTATTTCATTTCCCAGAAAACACCTGCTCAGAGAGCCGAGAAACTCTGCTTGAGAGACAATTGTCAAGGGCCCTGCACTCAAGTACCTCTTCTCCCTGCAAACAGGCCTCTCACTGCTGCATTTGGGGAGAGAGTGCGGAGCTTTAACCCTCAGTCACTGTCAGGATGAGCATAAGCCACTCTTAAGGTCTTTGTCTCAGCCCCTGGCTGATTTGGCTCAGTGGATAGAGCGTCAGCCTACAGACCGAAGGGTTTCGGGTTTGATTCCAGTCAGGGGCAAAAACTCCCCAACCCCAGTTAGGGCACATGTGGCAGGCAACATATATATATATTTTTTTTCTTTTTTGTCTCAGAAAGTAGAATGGTAGTTGCCAGGACTGAGAGAATGGAGGAAAGGAGCATGGGGAGTTATATTTAATGAACAGAGTTTCAGATTGAGATGATGAAAAGTGTTCTGGAGATAAATGGTTGCACAACAATGTAAATGTACTTATACCATGGGACTGTGTATTTAAAAATGGCTAAGTGGCGCCCTAACCAGTTTGGCTCAGTGGATAGAGCGTCAGCCTGCGGACTGAAGGGTCCCAGGTTCGATTCCGGTCAAGGACATGTACCTTGGTTATGGGCACATCTCCAATGAGGGGTGTGCAGGAGGCAGCTGATCGATATTTCTCTCATCGATGTCTCTCTATCCCTCTCCCTTCCTCTCTGTAAAAAATCAATAAAATATATTTAACCCTAGCTGGTTTGGCACAATGGATAGTGTTGGACTGCGGACTGGAAGGTCTCAGGTTCGATTCCAGTAAAGGGCACATGCGCGGGCTCGATCCCCAGTAGGGGGCGTGCAGGAGGCAGCCGATCAATGATTCTCATCATTGATGTTTCCATCTCTCTCTCCCTCTTTCTTCCTCTCTGAAACCAATAAAAATATATTTTAAATAAAAAATAAATAAAAATGGTTAAGTGGCAAATTTTGTATTATGTATATTTTACCACAATAGAAAAAAAAGTTCATCTCTGTCTCTAAGACAGGCAGGCTGCCCTCCCTGGGGAGCTCGGAACCCCAGGCTCAGCTCCTCATAAGAGAACAAGGGCTCCCCACCACCCTGAAGGCCCCGGCCCGCCTCACCTGTAAGCCGCAATCTCAATATCCAGAGCCATCTTGACATTGAGCAAGTCCTGATACTCGCGGAGCTGGGCTGCCATCTCCCACTTGGTGTTCCTCAGCTCAGCGTCCAGCTGCTGGATAGCGTCCTGAGGGCGACAGGTCACATACTCCTCAGGCCCTGCCCACACCTGGCCCTCAGCACCAGAGAGGCTGGGCCGGGCTGTGCCACCCAAAGCAGCCCTGACCCCCCCCAGCTGGAGCCACACCCGCCCTGCAAGGCCACGAGGGCCTCCTTTCCGGACATGGAAACCACGTGGAGCAAACATTTCACTGTGGCGACAGCCCTGGCCTGGGGAAGGGTCTGGAATGGCACACACCGGGCTCCAATAAGGGTCACCACTGGTTAGAACGGTGGCTGAATGTTCGCAGATCTCTTAAGCTTAGAAAATGCTCGGTAGGGACAGAGCCTTGTCTGCTCTGGCCCCCTGTTGGCTCTCCCATTCTCCAAAGTGTCCATCACACAGTCAAGGGCTCAGGAGGCATCTGTTGTTGAAACTGAGAGGATACACAGAAGCACAGAATAGGAGTGGGAGCTCCTTCCTTGTCCCCAGACCCACGTAACCAATGCTTAAAAGAAACCATTATGGCTGATGTTTATTACCTCCTTTTTATTGTCTTGGTTTTCTAAATTTTCTATCATCACCACATATTATCTGCATAAGTGCTTTAAAAGTGCCGGGGGGCCGAAACCGGTTTGGTTCAGTGGATAGAGCGTCGGCCTGCAGACCGAAAGGTCCCGGGTTCGATTCTGGTCAAGGGCATGTACCTTGGTTTCAGGCACATCCCCAATGGGGCGGGTGTAGGAGGCAGCTGATCGATGCTTCTCTCTCACTGATGTTTCTAACTCTCTATCCCTCTCTTCCTCTCTGTAAAAAAATCAATAAAATATATTTTAAAAGAAAAAGTGCCGGGGTGTGTTTTTGTTTTGTTTTGTTTTGTGTGTGTGTGTGTGTGTGTGTGTTTAATTGATTTCAGGGAGGAGAGGAAGAGGGGGAGAGAGAGATAAATGATGAGAATCATTGATCGGCTGCCTCCTGCATGCCCCTCACTGGGGATCGAGTCCACAACCCAGATATGTGTCCTGACCAGGAATCAAACCTTAACCTCCTGGTTCACAGGTTGACACAACCACTGAGCCAGCCGGCCGGGCAAAAATGCCATTTTCTTGAGCCAGTTGTCTTCAATAGGGAATCTGCCAAGGCCTTCCCCAGGTTATCCACACTCACAGACATTGGTTATTATTCACCAAATGCCCCTTTGTGAGCAAACCCTGCTAAGAACATTCACTCCCACCTCTTAAAAAGGTTGTCCATCTCTTTAATCTTCAGAGCTCTGCAAAGTAGGCATTCTTTTTTGTTGTTAATTCTCACCCGAGGATATTTTTCTATTGATTTTTAAAGAGTGGAAGGGAGGAGAAAGACAGAAATATCGATTGGTTGCCTCCCGCACGTGCCCCAACTGGGGACCAAGCCTGCAACCAAGGTACATGTCCTTGACTGGAATCGAACCCGGAACCCTTCAGTCCACGGACCATTGCTCTATCCAGTGAGCCAAACCGGCCAGAGCAAAGTAGGCATTCTTGCCCTGCCAGTGTGGCTCAGTTGGTTGGGCATTGTCCTGTGCACCAAAAGGCTGCCAGTTTGATTCCAGGTCAGGGCACATGCCCGGAATGCAGGCTCAATCTCAGGGGGCTGGGAGGGAGGGGCATGTAGCCTACCGATATTTCTCTCTGTAGCCATTCTTTTTTTTTCTTTTTATTTTTCTTTTTTCTTTTCCTTTTCATTGAAGGAGTTGGAGAGGCAGATAAATTTCCTGGAGTCACATGCCTAGAAAGACCTACTGGTATATCCGGTATGCCTGACTCCAAGGCCCATGTTCTCCATCACCACAACCCTGTTCAGAGGACAGTGACTTGTCCAAGGTCAAGGTCGCCCAGCCCCGTGAGTGAGACAGTCTGGCTGTCTGCCCCCACCCTGCCCACCTGGTAGGAGGCGAGGTCGGCTTGGTGCCGGTCCTCCAGCTCACAGCGCTGCCTCTCCAGCGAGTCCTTGGTGCCTTTGAGGGCCTCCAGCTCGGTGGTCCTGGCCTGCAGCTGGCGCCGGTACTCACTGATCTCCTCCTGAGCCGAGCGCATGGCATCCGTGTTCACCTTGGCTGCCTCGGACAGCCGGTCTAGCCTCACTGTGGGGGGAAGGGGACAGCGTGGAGTGAGACACGCCGGGAAACGTGTTCCGCTGCCCGGCTCCAGAGGGACACACACACTACTGGGTGCTGAGTGCCGTCCTGGATGCTTAACTCATCCTATCTTGCATGATAGGCAAAGACTACTGCCCAAGGCTACCCAGCTGGTGAGTGGCGGAGCTGGGACTCAAATCTAGTGTCTACACGGCTCCAGAGATTAGACTGTCTCCTGGACTCAGGATCCAGAAACCCTACAGGGCAGGGGAAAGGAAACCCCCATTTCCGGTCCTAATGCCTGGCCTGGCTCCCCAGCAAGGGCTGGCAGTGCTGGGGCTTCCGACGTGAAACCTGGCTTCACTCTGAACTTGAGGCTGCCTCCGAGTTTAACCCTGAACTTATGCGAAATAAGCACTCAAGGCTTTGACCTCTGAGGACGGGAGGGTGCCGTGAGCCACCGTGTAGCCACAGCCCCGTCCCTGCAGGTTTCTGCTGGGCAGAGCCCAAGGTCACTGCAGCGCCCGGGGCCTGCGTGCCAGCTCCTCTGCCCCTTCCTCCACCTGGCTGCACCGGAGCCCCCTGAGCCCAGGGCAGCCACACCTGCCCCCCCCCCCCCCCCCCCCCCGCAAGCAAAGGGCTGCTGGTTCCCAGGCCTTCCGGGGCCGGCTGAGATCTAGAGACTGAGTCTCCCATCTCCTGAAAATGAGCATTCTGAATCTTGAGATAGAGACACCCAGGGCCTGCGCTGGGAGTGTGGGAGGAAGAAGGGAAGCCAGCTGGATGGCCCAGAAGCCGAGGCTGGTTTGCTGGTTTGAAGGGCAAAGCCGGAGAGAACAGCGGGGTTTGCTCCGGGAGGAGCCTTGCTGCAGAGAAGTGGAAAAAAATGAAACAAAAAACAGGAAAAGCGTGCATCCATGCCCCAGCTTTCCCCGCTTCCCCCGTAACGCTGGCAAAGCGTTAGGAACCATCCTGATGGGTGAGGGTTCTTACCCACCGTGATCACAGACCCGCTTGGAAATCATTAAAACCCCTGCATCTCCCCAAGAACAATGCATCAAGTTTTACATTGGGGGGGGGGGGTAAGGGTGAATCAGGGAGCTTCCCAGGGTAATAACCCAGATGGTCCACCCCCATCTTTCAACCCAAATAAAATAGAAATGAAAACCAAATAAAATAGAAATGAAAACCAAATAAAATAGAAACGAAAAGCAGCATCGGCCAAGGTCACCCTGCAGCAGCTGCAGCTGCCATCTCGCTGACTCAGGGCAGCCTGGAGTTGGGGGAGGGCTCCGGATTTGAGAGGCTCCCAGGCGAGGAGAGGGGACATTGTAGGGTTCACCAGCCACCCCACCTCGGTCTCAGGTGCCAATTGTTTGTAGTGATGGTCCCCCCTCCCCCCGAGAAAGGATGTGAGAATGCCCCACTTCTCCGCAATGAGTGAGGAGGGGCCTGATGGGGATCGGAAGAATGGAGTCCGACGCCTGCAGTGTCCAGAAAAGGTGGGCTGGCAACAGGGCAGAGAAGGCAAGTTACTCTGAGGGCAAAGAGTCCCCAGCGCTGGTGCTTCAGAGCTATGGAGAGAGCCTGATGTGCAGGGGCCTCGGAGTGGACTTACCTAACTGTAGGGAGGCAGGGGGAGACCAGGAGGGCCCCAGAGTTAAAGGACAAGCATAAGGCCCCTGGAGGAGGGCAGCCAAAGGTGAGGTCCTACTTGACGGGGGTTGGAGACATCCCACCTGAGACCCAGGGGAAGCCGTTCTTGCACTAAGGGTTATGTCCTCTGCCTGGGGAAGCTGAGCCATGTGTTCCCCAAAGTGCGGTCCGCGTCCCCCCAGGCGGACGGGAAGCGTTTGGTGGGGGTACGCATTGCACCAGAGTTTGGCGGGGATGTGCACTGCACCGGGCTTGGCTGCGCCTAATTCTACGTTCTCATGAGTACGAGGGGTACTCGGCGTTAGGAAGATTATAGAAAGGGTACACACATGTCAAAAGTTTGGGAAACACTGCAGTCTACAGCGTCCCCGGGGTATCAAGCCACCCACCCCGCCCCTCGCCCCTCGCCGCCTGACCAGCAGGGGGAGCCCGTTCCCCCACCCGATCCCCTCCGCGCGCGCTGTCGAACCTCGGAACCACTCCTCGGACTGCAGCGTGCTCTGCACCGCGTGGCCCTCGAGCTGCGCGCGGATCTCGCGCAGCGCGGACGTCACGTCGCACTTGAGGGCGTCGCGCGCGTCGGCCTGCGCCTGGGCCTGCGCGGCGCCCCAGCCCTGGAGCTGGCCCAGCAGCTCGGCCACCTCCTCGCGGTGGCGGCGCCGCAGGTGGCCGCACTCCTCCTGCAGCGCCTGCGCCTTCTTCTGCAGCTCGGCGCGCGCCGCCGCGGCCTCCTGCGCGAAGCGGAGCAGCGCGCGCGCCGCCGCCTCGGCCTCCTCGCGCTGCCGGGCCTCGTCGTCCAGGCGCTGGCGCGCGTGCGCGATGTCGGCCAGCAGGTGCTCCTGCTCCAGGCGCAGCTGCCCGCGCGCCGCGCCCAGGCGCAGCACGGCGCCGCGCATCTCGCGCACCTCGCGCTCGTACAGCTCGCCCATGGCCGCGCGGCCCGCCTGCTGCTGCCGCAGCGCCGCCGCCTCGCCCTCCAGGCTGCGGTGGTGCGCCTCCAGCTGCCGCACCTTGTCGATGTAGCCCGCGAAGCGGTCGTTGAGCACCTGCAGCTGCTCCTTCTCGCTGCTGCTGCGCCCGGACGCCGCCGCCATCGCGCCGCCCTCCGGCCCGTTGCTCAGCGTGTCCAGCGAGGCGGACGCGGCGGAGCTCACGGACGCCGAACGCGCCCACGAGTGGAAGCCGCTGGACGAGCCGGCGGCCGAGCGCGCGCCCTTCCGGCCCAGCGCGAAGTGCAGGCCGCCGCCTCCGGGCAGCGGCGCGAACGGGGCGCCCAGCAGCGCGTCGGCGCCGCCGAAGCTCATGGCGGCGGGAGCAGGTCGGGCTGCGGGAGCGGGCGGGCGGGCGGGCGCCGGGGCCGGGACGGGGCGGGCGGGCGGGCGGCACTGCGGCAGCTCCGGGACGGCCGCCCTTTTATAGCAGCGGGGCGAGTCCACCCCGTCCCCTCCCGGGCACTAGGGGGGGGGGGGGTGCGGGGGAGGAGGGCCCCGCCCGCCGCCTCCCCTGCTGCCCCGGGGCGCCGGCTCCGCCGCAGTGAGAGGGGCGGGGCGGGGAGACGCGGAGTGAAGGGGGAATGACTACACGGAGGAGTCAGAGCCCCCCCAAAGCCTCCACCAGGTCAGCTCAGGGGGTAGAGGATCCCCAGAGTGGACCGGCGGCGGGGACCCCCCCGGGTGCGAATCGGAAGCCCCCGCCGCTGCTGGTTTCCGAATCCCAAAGGGGACCGGGATGCGGAGAGGACGGACGCACGGGGAGAGTTGCTGGGAACGGGGTTGGGGGCGCCTTGGGGGTGGAGACGGAACACTGCATAGTCAGTAGGGCGCGGGGGGTGCTGCCGCATGAAACGGGGGTCCCGAGGTTTTCCTAATCGTTAGGATAAGGGGTGCAGAGTGTCTGCAGCCACCGGGAAGAGGGGGAGGGAGCGAGGCAGCCCTGGATGGAGGCAGGGCGGACACCCCGGAGGACAGAACAAAGAGGGCCTCTGAGTGGAGTTCCAGGGTGGCCCCAAGTAGCTAAGGGGCCCCCAAGAAGCTCGGCAGCCCCCCCGGAAGAGGGGAGGGGAGCCTGGAGTTGAGGGGAGCCTGGGTGACCGGAGTGAAGCCCAGAGGAGGGGCCCAGTGGTCTGGGGAGGGGGACGGAAGGCGGGAGACCCCACAGCTGGCCCCGGGGAGAAGGACCCTGGTGAAAGGGGCCGAGGGTCTCCCGCACAGACACCACCGGAGGGACCCGGCTGCTGGAGGGAACCGGGCTGTTGCCGGTGAGGCCCCGGAGTGGGGGTGCCGCTGGGACAGGGCATGCGGGTGGGAGAGCTGGTGCCCGCCCAGAGGGGTGCGGGAGGGGAGGGGGGTGACAGGTGAGCTGGTGGCCACTCAGGGCCAGGCTCTTCCTCTCCCGGTGGTGGTCGCTCCGCAGTCTGCTGGCCAGATGACCTTGGACACGTTGTATCTCTTCGCCCCGCCCCCACCACCCACCTCAGGCTGCAACTTAAGTCCCCTAGCTCGCTCCCCGAGCAGCTTTAGCTTGGGGGGGAGTGGGGGGCTCTGGCTGGATTAGGGGAGCCGAACCCGTGTGCTGCCCCCCCCACTGCTGCTTTCCCATATTCCTAGATCCCCCCTTTCCACCTCCTCACCTTCAACTCGGCCTCTCTCCCTCCCCCGACCCCCACTGCAGATTAAGTGGGTGCCCCGTGGGCATCCCTTCTCAGCCCAGGGAAGTGGTGGGGTACACTGCCTGTTAGATACCAACGTCCCTCACCCCATAAGCCCCATTGGAGGGTCAGATATGCAAAGGGGTCCTTGACCTTGGGGGCGGGGGAGGGTGCCTGGGACGGCCGGTGTGGTTTAACTTTTCCTGCTTTGGGCTGGTGCACAGCCAATGCCTTAGGAGTCCGGGCAGCACTGCAGAGGGTGGCGCTTCAGCACCGGGGACAGCGCCCGCCCCTCCTCCGGGAGGAAGGGGTTAACCTCCGCGTTGCCAGGAGGGGAAGGAGGTTGGCAGATCCGCTGTGCCCGACCTTTGGGCTGTGCGGATGGGGACCTGGGGAGGAGAGGGTGGGTGGATGGCCTGGCAGGGTCCCCAAGGGAGCCGAGGACCCAGCCCCTCGACTTTCTGGTGGGGGTCCCGGTCCCGTCCCCGGCTTTCTGTGAAGTTCTCTTAACACACGCACACCTGGGCTGTCCTGCCCCCCCTACCCTGGGAGCTGATGCTGGGAACAGGTCCCCCAGAGTCCGTGTGTGTAGACTCCGCTCCCAGATCTGAGCCCCCTTAGCCAGTCACCTCACACACACACACACACACACACACCCCACTGCCTTCCCAATACACACTGGTCTTCCTTCTGCGGGATCCCGAGATGGGGACCAACGGACCCTCAGAAAAGTCCTCTGCCAGTTCCTTTCTCCGTGCTTTCCACCTTAGGCTCAGCCCCCCTCCCACCTCCCCCTCCCCCCCCCCCACCTTCCAGCAGACCCTGAGCCATGCGGAAGGCATGCTGCTGTCCCTTTAACCACGTTTCACTGGAAGGGAGTGCGCTGGGAGGAGGCGGGAGGCGGGAGGCGGAAGGGAGTCTCTGGTTTTGCTGGAGAAGCAGAAGCATCCCCCCCTCTGTGAAGACCAGGCTGGCTCTGGTTTGCCGGGCACAGGGGCTGGTGTGCAGTTGGTGCCGGGAGGATGGGGACTTCTGAGAAAGGCACTTTGTGTGCGTGCGTGTGCATGTGCATGTGTGTGTGTGTGTATGTGGGAGGGCTGATGCAGGGTCCCCTTGCTGTCACATGGCTCCCCATTGACTTGTCCTCCTGCTTGTAATTTTACCGCTGGAGCCTGGTTCTCCTGGGCCTTTTCAGGGTGGCACAAAAGGGGGACATCCTCAGGGTGTGGGAGGGCTGACAGGCAGCTGTCAGCAGAGGGGAGCGATGGGAGAGGCTGGGTGAAAGAGAGGAGGGGGCCAAGGTGGGTTCTGTCAAGGCCAGGGGGCCACAACCATGGGATGGCAGCTGCCTGTGGAGCCAAGCAGGTCACTCCCCCGAAGGGCCCTGCAGGCTGCCCTCCAGGATGCCTTCTCTGGCCTCCTGGACTCCCCGGTCAGTGAATTCCTCCCTCCCCCCCCCCCGTGGCTAATCCACCACATCACACTCAGCACTCCGTGTTGTCATCGGGGGAATACGTTCCGTCCGTTCTCCTGCCACACGTGTGGTCTGGAGGGGAGCGCACACGATTCCGCCCCGATTCCCAAGGCCCCGAATCACTGAATCACTCCCATCCGCCTCCCTTCCGTTCCTGCCACGTGGAAGCGAGCAGAACCACAGGTTCATTCCACCCATCACGCGTTTACTGAGCGTGTGCCCCGGGGTAGGGAACGGAAGTCACAGAACTGTATACACCTCGAAACGTTGATCCCTGGGACCGGAATGCTCAGGTCCTTCCCAAATTCCAGCCCAGCGTTTCCCAAGGCACCTACTTCCGGATGATACGTGTTCGCCCAAAAAGGAGAGAGAAAAAGAGGGCATTTTGTGGCTAAATAGGGCCCTGGGGTCTGGACGAGGCCATGAGCACAGGGGACGAGCACAGGGGATGAACAGATGAGTGGAGGGTGCCGGCTTCTCCAAACTTGTTTGACCACAGGAGTTCCTCCTCTTACTCCTTCTCCTCCTCTTCTTTTTCTTCTAATACTTTTTAAAAATATATATTTTATTGATTTTTTACAGAGAGGAAGAGAGAGGGATAGAGAGCTAGAAACATCGATGAGAGAGAGACATCGACCAGCTTCCTCCTGCACACCCCCCACTGGGGATGTGCCTGCAACCAAGGTACATGCCCTTGACTGGAATCGAACCCGGGACCTTTTAATCCGCAGGACGCTCTGTCCACTGAGCCAAACGGGTTTCGGCCTTTTTTTTTTTTTTTAATTTCAGAGAGGAGTAAGGCTCCATAGCTCAGGGGTTAGAGCACTGGTCTTGTAATTTCAGAGAGGAAGGGAGAGGGAGGGAGAGACAAATGTCCATGATGAGAGAGAATCCTCAAGCAGCTGCCTCCAGGTGCCCTGACTTGGAATCGAACCGGTGACGTTGAACCGGCGACCTCTTGGTTCCTGGGTCCATGCTCAATTGCTGAGCGACACCTTGGTCTGGCCTGAAGGCTCTTCTTACCCCCACGTGTCTCCCCAGGGGCCCACCCTGCAGGACCCACTCAGCATGGAGCCTCAGGCCCGCTGTCCCTGGGCATGCTCTCTCTGAGCCCAACTCAGCACCTCCTCCCAGGCTCCTCCCTCTGCAGAGCCGCCTGCTGCCAGGGACTCAGCCAGGCCGGCAGCAGCCTCTGCAGCCTCCTGCCGCCCCGCCCGCACCCCGCTCCCAGGAAAGGCACTCCATGGGGAAGCACAATGGGGGGGTTTCCCCTCCCCCCCTCCAGTGGGGGACCAGGACAGCAGGGGACAGGTGCACAGGTTTGAAGCGGGGGGGGGGGGGGGGGGGGGGGGGGGGATTCACAGGAAGCTGGGAGGGTTATCAGACAGGGTATCAGGTGTCGGTCAGTAGTCTTGATCTGCTGAGCCGGTTTCCTCTGTGAAAAGGGAGTCATCTTCCCTCTTTCATTAACCCCGCGGTGGGGGAATACAGGCGAGTTTATGCCGCCTGCAACGTGAAAGTCCCAGGCAGGCAGCCCATAGGCTGAGGGGGCCTGCAGCCCAGCTCCGGTCAGCCCCTCAAGGGTATTAAAAGGATGTCATTTAGAAGTGGGTAGTAGCCTGGCCGGTTTTGCTCAATGGTTAGAGCATCAGCCAGCAGACTGAGGGGTCCCAAGTTCAAATCCGGTCAAGGGCATGTACCTTGATTGCAGGCACATCCCCAGTGGGGGGTGTGCAGGAGGCAGCTGATCCATGTTTCTAACTCTATCCCTTTCCCTTCCTCTCTGTAAAAAAATCAAAATATATTATAAAAAAAAAAAAGTTGGTAGTGGTCATGGTTGCACAACATTTCAATAAAATATATTTAAAAAAAAAAAAAGCTGAAACAGGTTTGGCTCAGTGGATAGAGCATCGGCCTGCGGAACAAAAGGTCCCAGGTTCGATTCCGGTTAAGGGCATGTACCTTGCTTGGTTGCGGGGCACATCCCCAGTGGGGAGTGTGCAGGAGGCAGCTGATTGATGATTATCTCTCATCGATGTTTCTAACTCTCTATCCCTCTCTCTTCCTCTCTGTAAAAAATCAATAAAATATATTTTTAAATATATATTTTTAAAAAAAGAAAGGAAGAAACTGTGCTTAGGCCAGGAGTCTGGCCTCCCTGGAAGCAGAGTCAGTCAGGCTGGGGGCAGATCCTGACTGCAGCTCCGTGACCTCAGACAGGCCCCTGCACTCTCCTTCGGAGCAGGTGCCCGTGTCACAGGGTCCGAGGAGCACCTGAGGTGCCCACGCCGCCTGGGAG